TCAAGAAGGCTCTTCCTGGCCCGTACTACCTCATACTAAAGTCCTATCTAACGGAAAGACATTTCCAAGTCAGATACAACCGTGACTATTCACAATGCCACCAGATACGATCAGGAGTACCACAGGGCAGTGTTCTGGGCCCCTTACTATACCTAATATATACTGCAGATCTCCCCACAACAACCAAAACAACAGTGGCTACATTTGCAGACGACACCGCAATCCTAGCAACAAGTAACGATCCAATAATAGCCTCGGAAAATCTCCAACAACATCTAAACCTTCTACAGCACTGGTTCCACAACTGGCAGATCAACATAAACCAGAACAAATCGGTCCACATTACCTTCACAACAAGACGAATAGTATGCCCACAGGTATCGATAAACAACATTCCCATACCAGTTAAAAACGAAGTGAAATATCTAGGTCTACACTTAGACCAGAAATTGACATGGCATAAGCATATCAAAACCAAACGACAGCAGATAAACCTAAAACTAAAGGAAATGTCTTGGCTCCTGGGACAAAAATCTAAACTATCCATGAACAATAAACTACTCCTATACAAATGCATCATTAAACCAATATGGACCTACGGGATCCAACTGTGGGGTTGTGCTAAACCGTCACATACAAAAATCATACAGAGAATACAGTCAAAAATCCTACGAGCAGTCGCAGATGCACCCTGGTATGTGTCCAACCTATCTCTTCACAACGACCTCCAAACTCCTTTCGTCAGTGACGAGATTCGCAGACTGTCGAGACTATACAGCGCGCGGCTAGATGGACATAGCAACAAACTCATAGCGGCCCTGAATACTCCGCCAAAGGTGCCACGGAGACTAAAACGGCAATGGCCTACTGACCTCTGCGAAACCTCTGAAGACACGGAAAACAATATTAACCATCAACAAGACTGATAGGGGATTCATCAGAGGATGAATGCTCCACTCATGCCACTCACCCACAGATTTACTTAATGCTCCACAAATAAGAGAGCAAATTGTAAATACGCAGTTAATAAAAAAAAAAAAAATGGAAATATCACTTTTAACTCCTGATGAACCACTGAACTTGGCAAAACATCTGAGACGTATTCATTTTTTGAGTTGTAATGGCCTAATCTCTCAATGTTGTCAAGAAGGTTAGCTTCCATCTTCTGGGTAAAATAACAGAGAAGCTTCATCCTAATATTTCTAACATTGTGCCATGAGGCTGTAGATAATTCTTATATTCTGGTTGGTGGACTTGAAGAAAACGGTATGGCAACGAAAGTAAACACTTAGAAATAGGTTGCATTCAGAATCACATCTCTTCGTCCTTCAGAAGTTGTGTCACTTCGGTTTTAAAAGGAGGTAAAGGTAGTGGCACTTGAAACAGAGACTTTCATTTTTACTTTCGATGCACAATAATTTCTACCAAGGCTGCCATCATCATCATCATGCATTGTTTCCATCAAGATGATTCATCTTATGACAAAGCCTCCCATTTTGTGTATTCTCCCTTAAATCCTTGTAATATCTTCCCTCATTTAGTCTCCTTAATGGCTGTTAATCAAGCATCTTAAATTTGTATGCTCTCAAAGTAACCCTTTTGTCATCCATGTGTACTGTGTTTCCACATAAACATGTCCTTAATTTCACCAGTCTTAATAATCTATTTTCAGGTATTCTCCAATCTTGTTTTCCAATATGGTACTTCATAAGAAGTGCATCTCAGGTGTTTGTAATCAGCTCATGTCCAAGTTTTCATTCCATATATGAAGCAAAATGTTTTATATAACTAAGTTGTAACATGTCATAATTATAAATGATATCCTGTAACAGTCTGGTAAAATGTCCTGGTTGTACTGATCTTTTCCAGCTTTCTCTAATTCATGAAATGTTACTATCAGATTTTCAGAGTTGCCGTTTCTCATGACCACACTCTGTCTTAATTATGTGACTTTTCTGGTTTTTGATTCCATTTGTTGATTTTCTTTCTCAATCCTTTGTTATTTTCTAACAGCATGACGTAACAAATATAAATCACTCCGTCCAATGTGACCTGTAAGTTTTTTACTACATGAAAACTTAACAACCTTACATGTTTCGGTCTCTGTGGACCATCTTCAGAGGGCAGACATCACTACAAATAGGAAACCACCATCACATAAGTTGTTTAGACGTAAAGTACGTATACTTATATGCTACAATACATAGTACACAAAATAGAACATTTCACAAACACAGCAGTTTCCTGGGAATGTAAAGTCTTTAAAAAATATATAAAATTTCTTGATGCTAGTTAAAAATTTTTTTAAATATAAATATAAATACAATTTTTTTAAATATAAATATAAAAAAAATATAAAATTTCTTGATGGTAATTAAAAAAAAATTTAATTAGCATCAAGAAATTTTATATAATTTTTTAAAGACTTTACATTCCCAGGAAACTGCTGTGTTTGTGAAATGTTCTATTTTGTGTACTATGCATTGTAGCATATAAGTGTACGTACTTTACGTCTAAACAACTTATGTGATGGTGGTTTCCTATTTGTAGTGATGTCTGCCCTCTGAAGATGGTCCACAGAGACCGAAACATGTAATGGTGTTAAGTTTTCATGTAGTAAAAAACTTACAGGTCACATTGGACGGAGTGATTTATATTTGTAATTGTTAGTGTGACGAACCAGAATGAAACAAATCAAAAGCATGACGTAATATATGCAGATACCCATGATACAGATATAGTAACGTACTGTTTTGTACCATCACTGAATTATAGTGTTTATCTTCAAATCATGTCTGTTATAACAAACGCTTTATTTGACTGTGTATCATACTGCTCCTAAATGAGGCACCCAGGCAGTGGCAGCATTTCATGATTATAATGTGTTATTTGAAGAATATTCAAAGTTTTAAAATTTAAGAATTGTGTTGTTGCAACAATTTGATATTTATTGCATACCTACAATTTCTTGGGCAGTAAATCATAATATATACAGAGGTAAGGCATAACAATAAAATTATGCAATCAAATTAATATTTGTTTTATATCTTAAATTTCTTAGGCAGTAAATAATATAAATACAGAGATGGGCCATTTTACTGTATTTTAACACATTTCGGTTTTACTGTGCACAATAAATACAACTCAGAACACTGTTAGCTACTATTGATTTTATGCAACAAATACATTCAAAGTCTGTTCCGGTACTCCTTTACAGATATCTTCAAAACTGATAAATTGGTATAAGTGTTACAAGCAAGCAAGGGCATATAAAGAACTTACGATGCTGTATATTCATTAATGCTACGATATAAAGCTATGTACATTAGGGGGAAAAGACTATGGCTAGAAACATGAAGCACCATTGGAAATAAAAAAAAAAGATACCGTTTTATATGGTGTACCACAAGGGTGGAGAAAAGCAACTTTAATGTATTCTTCAGGCATCTACCCAAAAGGACTGCAGAAAAAAAACCCTCATCAAAATTCACTTAGGAAAGCCTGGAATCAAATGGGATATCTTTTGCATATGAAGTAACAGTGGTGACTATTACAGTAGAACATTAAATATACAAATAGAAATGATGCAATGTACTATATACTAATTTTCAGTAAGGTAAAGGTAAAGAAACACGTTGATATATTGAATGATTTGCTGTAATATAATTTTGAATAATTTACTGAAGTAACAACATAACTACACATAACTGAATCTGCTCAGAATCTGAACACACTATCTTCTTTTTGTGACTGGGTGATATGGATTTAGAATTACCATAATTACCATACCCATAGATCAGGGGACACATCAGAAGAGTGATACAAAAAAAAAAGGTAGAATTATATTTAAAAGTTCTCAACACCCAATAGTGTAAAATTTAAAATCTGAGGAACTGATTTACCTGTCGGGATGTTCTACATGAACATACTATACGTCTAGTCACCCCACTATATATACACCTATCATGTAAATGGCAGTAACATAAAGTAACCCAATCTACTATACTGACAGATCAAGTCAGGCTTGTCACTTTTCGTGTGGAAAGTTGAAACGTGTATCTTAAACATTCCAGATATTTTTAATCCAAATAATTATAAAAAGTTCTTGATACATGCTGTCCCATAGGTGCTACCTTAATATATAGAGAGGTTGGCAGGAATTATAAATTAATAATCCTATAAATCAACTATATTTGCTCATAATTTCCACTAGTGAAAATTGATATTCAGAGCTGTCACATATAACCTCAAGGTTTCACACTGTCACCCTGTTTAGAACTTAAAAAAAAAAGTCTGAAACAACATTTGCTTCTTATCTACCACCAAAACAAATTTAAAATGCTTAAATGCACTGAGTCAACATCTTTAACATTAAAATGGAAAAGAAAATACAGATTTCAAGTTTCAAAGTTATACACACAAAATAATCATAACAAAAGTTGTATACTTTAAAAAAATTATCACAAAAAATTTCTGCGTCCTACATTCAGAGATACTTGTTTCAGTCCCGTGTCAGAAATGGCCACCATGTTGCTATTACTGATGGTATAAAACTGGTAAAGTGATTGAAATTTATTATGGGAACAGAGAGGGCACAAATATGTTGTTTCATCTCTGCTGATAAAGTTAAGTGTTAATGATGGAACATGGTGAAGAACACACAGCAAAGATACAGATGCATAGTGTTTGGGTCATCAATGTTACAAGACATAACAGTCATTACACAAGATCTGCATTATTCGAGAGCTTTGTTACATGGAAGTGAGATGCCTACATCTCTACACTTAATATTACTGGGGGCGCACACCTTCACACAGGTTCACGAGACATATCTCTTGATTTAATTCTTTTACATTTGTGAATGTAATCACATTTAAAAATGGATACTTTACAAAATGTGAGGGCCCTGTAACACATCCAACCACCATATTGATACTGTTGATGCAAGAAAATCACAAATTACAGTGGTCAAGTCGCCTAAGATAGAATTATCATACTGATGTAAATAAAGTAATCTGTTCAAATGATGAGAAGAAAATCAAACCGAATAAGAACAGAGAACAAATAATTTGAAAAAGCTGTTCTTGCCTTCTGCCTTTCCTAGTTGATTGTCTACAACATATTTCTTCAGTTAATGTTAGAAGTGTTCTATTTAATTTCATGTGTTCAATATTCAGCAGGGTTCCTGGGTTAGGAATACAACTATGGCAATTCTTTCCATACACTTTTCAAACTTCTGCTCCTGATTTGCATACTCCAAAAATTATTTCATCCATCATAATGGTCAGCATGTCCAATCTTTGTCATAAACCTACATCTGTTTTTGAAATTATGACTTACATTATCAAAATCAAGCCTCCTTCATAAAAAGAATACAAAAATTATGCCAATAAACTCTATACACTTTCTTGACCTTGACAACTCAGCTTTTCTAGTCACCATTTAATTTTATAAGCTAACATAAGAAAAAATGGAATAATTCCATGTTATTTCTCTGTGAAATACATGCCATATTGCTATTTCCATTGCATCTATTTAACTGATATGGTTGTATGATGTGAAAAATGACTGAACTATTCTTAACACATATTTATAGATGAATCTGAAATACAACCTGCCAATAGATATCAAAATTTCCTTTAGTGGATCATTTGAGGGGAAGATTTCGGCTCACTGTGTTACATACATGAGATGACACTTTGATCAATACGTGGAACTTCTACTGGAAAAGGAGACAGTCTCAACCTCCTCCTGCAGTCTTAAGCAGGATAACCCCCCACAGGAAAGGCCCTATCTCGCTGCACACTGGGGTTGGTTCATGCAAAAGAAGGCCAAGGTGGGGTTCCATAGCATTTTCCCTCCTCACTGCCACAGGCCTGCATAGTTTCCATAAAGATTTGCAGGCAATGGTCCTCCTGCAGTAAATAATCGTGTCCCAGATGAGTCATAGCAGTGAGTATAGATGGCAGGTGTGTACTTGATATGCTGGAAGCCATCGATGTATTCTTCATCTGGAAACTGGAGATAAACAATACAACTCATCAGGTAGATGTCCATCATGATGAGTTTTGATGTATTCTCCTGCACATTAATGCTGTAACACACTGGCATGATTGGATGCTAGTGGAGTGATGGATGAAAACTTTCTCTCAGACCTGTGTGGGTCTTTGCAAATCACGACATACTTCACTAGATAAACATTTGGTGATATTACTAATCAATGTTTTCTTTCTTTCTAGGCTTCTTTAATGAATCTCAGTCAACTGTATAAGTTATGTAACACTAACTGCTAAGATGACTATAAATCATTGAGGGAAGGTTTAGAAATGAAACAGTCTATTTCAAGATACTATTCCAGCTTGGAGGGGCTGAGGAAAATCACTAAAACCTCTGCCCGGATAGCTGGTATGTGGGTAAAGATTCAAACATGAAAATCTCTGAACAATGATGAATACTAGGCAGTATATTGAGATACTCATGTCAGGTGTTCTGAGAGTTTGCAATGTGTAAATGCTTACCACCCAGCCTTTGGATGCCTTCAGATGCACAGTGCGACTGGAATTTATGCTTGACTCAAGGTACTTCCCTGCACGGAGGTCATAGAACAGAAGTATTCCAACCCCAGTTCCAATAGTCAGCACATTGCCTTGGAAACTAGCAGAACGAATTCCTAGAAAAATGCATTTTGTAAACCCGATTTCAGCCATTAAAAGTTAAGTACTCTTAACTATGAATCACAAACATTCAACAACTAAACTTCAGTTACAATCACTAAAAATCACATATTTATGAGTTCTGTCTTCTGGGATATGCTGTTTAGTCCATTGATAGTAGGTGTTTCAGAGGAACATGTCACCTCCATCTTCAGGGTCAAAAAATAAGGCAAGTAAGAAAATAGAGTGAAAGCAGAGCTTGCCACCTGCTTTCACACTGGTTTCTTTCTTGGCTTATTCTTTGACCCTGAAGATGGAGGCGAAATGTTCTTCTGAAACACTGACTGACTTTCATTGGATTGCATGGCATTATATCCCAGAAGATAGACCTTTTCATGAACACTCAAGATGAATGATGAGGAGCAGCAGAGGCAGAACTGGGAATGAATCATAAGATTAATTTTAGAGCTTACATCATAACAAGAGGAGCCAGGATAGCTCAGTCAGTATAGCAACTGGCTATGCACTGGGTGACCTGGATTCAGTTCCTGGCAGGGCTCTTCTCCAGAGCAGCTCTAAGGCCCACCCAGCCTCCAATCCAATTGGTACTGGGGGCAATTTCCCTGGGGGTAAAGTGGCCAGGCCATGAAGCTACCACTCACCTCCATCTAGTGCAAAGTTCAAGAATGATGGAGCTATACCTCCATTCCCCCATATGTCTTCACAGAATAACTTTACCTTCTATAACCATTATAACAAGAAAAAATAAACACATTCTCAACTCTGATGGTCTGAACATTACAGGAGAGTAAATTAAAGCTACCCAACAAAGAAAGCCTAGTGGCAGGCCAAGACAAACCTGAGTACAGAGTATTCAGAAAGTACTGAGACATTTGTTTCCCAGGATGAATAAATTTAAACCTGAGATGGAAGACTAGCAATAGTAACAAGCTCTTTGCAAAAAGTGAGAGAAGAGAACTGATGAAGATTCAATGTTGCAATTCTTGTGAGCACATGAACTCTTCAAAGCACGTGCACTATGGAAAAACTGGACAAGTTACTTTAACTGTTTTCTGATTTCAACCTCTTAGTATAGCACTGTTTTATTATCAACCTACATAAAAGATACACACTGCAGTGCAAATTTGGGATGTAACAGCATCCAGATAGGATCAAACTGTTGTTTCCCACTATTCTGAGTTCACATTTCTTTGTCTTTATAGTTCTCCTTTTCAATATGAACTTCATTAGTAAGCTTTTATCAACATAATCTTTCGGAAATGTATCACCATTTCTCTGCAATACAGAAAGTTTCACAGGGTGCCAATTTACTTCCAGATAAACACTATATAATATTCAGGATTACTGAGTTTTTCAACATCCATCATCTGGTATTCTGAAGAATACTGCATCTCAGAAACTAGGTATGTTTCCATCCTCAGTGAAGATACTGGAGGCATTACTCTGTTAGGTTCCATTACAAAGAATTAAGTTCCAGAATTTTTATATGAAAAGCATTATTACTTAGTACACTGTTAACTTAATGACATTACATTTATGACAGTGAGCTATTATGTTTTGTGTAACAACAGCTTACAAATGCACTGCAAATATTATAACCTTTTCAAAGTGTTTACAGTTTATAAAAGGTGCAGTGTGAAGCAACTTTTAACATAGCACAAATCTGCAGTAGCATGGTTTAAATGGAAAGAGTACCTGGACATGCATCAGTAAGAACATATTTTCTTACCACAGCCACTATATCGTGGCGAGATCTTCTTGACAGCTTGAAGTGTTCGGGCATCCAGAAGCAGAGTGTATGAGCGACAGCCAACAGCATACATTCCTGCATCCTGAACAGCTAGGCAGACATTTTCCTGGCATGATGGCAACTTCCTTGACAGCTTCTGTGAGATGTAGAAAGCTTGTATGCACCAACAAATAAGTAGATTTGTTGGAAATTTGGACTCTCATAACTGAGTCAATGAAGCAGAAACCTTCTTGAGAAATTAATAGTTGTTGAACTCAGCAGTCAAGAAATTCCCCGACTTTTATGCAACTCAAAGTTTCATCACCACATTCATGGAAGCCTATTCAGAGGAACATGTTGCCTTCATCTTCAGGTTGAAGAATAAGCCAAGCAAGAAACCAGCATGTTCCTCTGAAACACTGGTTGACTTTCAACAGACTACAAAGTGTTATATCCCAGAAGACAGAATTCTTCATAACCATTGACATGAGGACCTCAAAAACTACACAAATGAAGATTTATGGAGCTGTATATATACTCACAGACCATATCAGGCTATAGAAACATTTTCAAAGAACAGATATCTGTGAAATACGTTACAAATCCTATTTTGCTAGGAATGGAAATATTGGATGATGATTTGTGTGGTTATTTCAATGTTCATTTTTTTCCTTTATCTCCTTACATGCATAGAGATTTTTTTTTCTGAGAATGTTGGGAATATGGCTGAGGCCAATGATGTGTTTAAAACTGCCCTAATTGCATCAGGACACATAAAATGCCAACACAAAGTTGAAGCATCATGCAGATCACTACTGTGACCACAAAAAATTATCTGTAAAAGAGGTAAGAGAGGAGTATTTAGTATAAATGTGATTACATTTAGCAAAATTATATTGCTACCATTATAATCATTCTCTAGCTTATCATCAGCAAGTCCAGTGATGTTTATATGTGTTCTGGCCAAGGATGTAGTGTATTGGTCAAAAAGTTACTGAGATATCTCATAATAATACATGCCAAAGGGACACTACAGTAAGGGTTTAATGTGTAAAGGTGTTTGAATTATGATAGATCATTACAAGTTTCACACCTATTTGGAAACAAATCAGAAATTTTGAATAGCAAAGTTCATCTACCAAGAAACAGACCTGTTTAAATGTCTCTGCATTCCAGATGTGAATATAACCATTGAGTGAAAGTGCTGCAATCTCTTGAAAACTCTTGTTAAATGCAACTGCACGAACTTTCTGTGCTGATTTGCACTCCTTGACAGCCAATGCACGCACATGACTGTACGTGGGAACTTCCTGTTTTGTAGCTATGTCATCCTCCTGGACTCGCCACAGTGCCATACGAGTGTCACGAGAACCTGACACCAAGAACTGGTCATCCAGCCAGCACATGTCAAACACCCAGTCACGATGTGCCCCCTATAACACCCCAAACATCTCATAACTTCGACAGAATATTTGTAGGGTATTACACAAACTCACTCTAACTGCAATTCAGAACTGATTTAATCTCCATCAGCAAATGTTTAATTTAATCATAAAAACACCCACAGTGAATGAAATCTGTGTTCTTGACAATTGTGTTTTATGTCAACAGAGAAAGTTGAACAATTATAACTGAACACATGTCCCTGTATTCACATCATACTGTGGTGAAATGTCGGTCTTTCTGCTGATACATTTTGTACGTTGTGTGGTGTCCAAATTCTTAACTGACATAAAGGAAATATGTCTTTACACTGAAAATTTTGCAGAGCTCAATAAAGAACTTTATTCATTTCTACAAAAATGAACATTTTACAAAATTCAAAATTTTGTTATTTTCTTATAAGCTTTCACAATATGGGATGATGTGGGGTTGAAGTGGGAACTGAAATAGCAATCCAGCAGTGGGTAATATCACATAACATCACATGTCTAATTGAGCAACTGACAACTTAGGAATACATGATCATTATTTGGTGTCGTAATCTGTAAAGCCAAAGATCATTTAAGACATGATTCTTCATATGGCAAATATATTACATAACATAACTTCATTCTCTGCCCAACTTAACAAGAAAATCAATTTTCACTTTTTACAGAAGCCGGGATGGTGTAGTCGGTATAGCAACTGGCTACGGGCTGGACGACCAAGGGGTCAGAGTTTGAGTCCCAGTGGGGTCAAGAATTTTCACTTCTCCATGTCATCCAGACCGGCTCTGGGGTCCACCCAACCTCCTATCCAATGTTTACCTACGCCGCTTTCCGTGGGCATAAAGCAGCCGGGGCGTGAAGCTGACCACTCACCTCCAACTAGTGCCAAGGGCAAACAAATGTGATTCTATACATCCACTCCCCCATACAACTTCATGGCATAGTGCTTAATTAAGTACAGGTAAATCTTTACCTTTTACAGAAGCAGATGGAACATTTTGTAAGTTTCAAAATGTAATTATTTTGGCACTAACATATCTCTGTGAGACTGTTTTTAGGTCCAGGTAAATGCCCAAATAGCAACTCACTGGTTATTTTCAGTATCACAGGGTTTAATAGGATGACAGACCATATGAATATTACCGGGTGGGACAGTCTGCAAGGCTACATATCATATCAAATTTAGATCTCTATATGGACATTACTCAGAAGTTTCCTACCACAACTCTATGCATATGGTAGCATAGTTGGTTGAGGCACTATGCTACAAGCCAGAAGGGTGTGGGTTTGATTACCATATGAGGTTGCTGGATTTTTCAATTGACCTAATCCTTCCAGCTGCACTACGCCCTCCGGGGCCAACTCCGCCTCTAACAGAAATGAGAACTAGGAATCTTCCTGCGAGTTAAAGGGTGGTTGGCGAATAAGGCTGACAACCTCAACGCCATCTGTGAGCCGACTGTCTAGAAAATGTGGAGGTAGAGCAGAGTTTACCATCACTCTATTTGTGTGTGAGTGCTTCTCATAAGTCACACAAATCGTTGTCACAAAAAAAATGGTAACTGTCCCATAGAAATTTTCAACCTGCTATCAAGAGAAGAGGATAGTTACATGAATTACAAGAAATCAGGACGGCATCTACTGCTTTGGCACTGTCACACAGTAACAAGCAGTTAAAAGTTTTTCTATAAACTGTTCCACAATCAAATGTCAGTATGTCAACAAATATAGAATGCCAATTTATGTCTGTGCCAGCATTACCATCTCACACCTGGATGCTATTCTAATGCTTATTTTTAGCTGTTTTCCTCAACCACTCAATATATCACCTCCAGATTCTCATTAAATGATAACCGTGTTGACATTTTTGTTACAGTACAGGCCTTCAAACACTTAAGAACTACAGTGAACCAGACATGAAATATTTCAGCCAATAATGAGCATTTCATCTCAGAGGGAGATTTTAAAAATCTATGCTGGAAAACTCCATTTTCATACATAACATTGCATGTTAATCATAAAACCTTCACTTATAACTACATACTGTACAATAAATGGTTCTTTTCACATTAGTGAAGATATCTCTAGGCAGTTCTGAACCTGTCAGCCTATAGAAAATACGGTCTTCTTGTTATTACATACAGAAGTCACAATAGCTCAATCAATATAGTGACAGACTGGAAGTCCAGCATTCAAATCCCAGGAGTGGCAAACTTTTTCTCTTCTCTACAACAGCCAGACTGGCTCTGGGGCCCACCAAGCCTCCTATCCAATTCAATCAGGGGCTCTTACCCTGGGAGTAAAGAAGCCAGGGTATGAAGCTGACCATTCACCTCCATCTAGTGCCAAGGTCAAGAATGGTGGAGGTGTAGGTCCACTCCCCTTATGTCTTCATGGTATAATGCTTCACTAATTAAGCACAAGGACAACTTTACCTTTACCAGTTTTTACATGTAGAGCTGCATCACTGACAATTTTGTGGTTGTTACAATAGGTTAAAAACAATTTCAGAGTGGATAGCATCAAGCAGGGTGAATAAGTTTCGCAATGGATCAAATAACAAACCAAAACACTTTTGTACAATAAAATGAACAGTGCAACTGACTGTCATTATTAGTGTTATTACTTTAAAAGATTCCCTATGTTTATGATCCATTACTATGCCCCACCTGATACAATTACACATAAGAGAAGAAAATTTGTTGCACAGGATGAATCTGACAAGAACATCACAGAATGCAACTTTGTGTATACAAACTGAAGAAACAAAAGGACAGATGTAATAAGATGTACTGTGAAAGTAAAATTCATTTGTTCAGGCTTACAAAATGAACACAAAATACAATCAATTGGAAAACTGGAACATGCAAAACGGAAGATATAAAACAACATTACCAAGAATTTAGAAAGAAATGGGTGGAATTTGAAGCAGGAAGAATGAAATAATCAGACCTTCAGCATAATCAAGGAACCTATAATAATTAAATAAATAAGTAAAAGAATTTTATATCACACATTTATAGCATCTAATGTTTAGTACAACAACTATTATTCACCTTTGCAATCAAATTGCCTGTAATCACATAATCCCCAATCATGAATGTGAGATGCAAAAATAAGATTTATGAAATGAGACTCTGCAGCACTGATACCAACATCATGAAAGGGGAAAGAAATTCCCTTATTAAGCTCAACCCAGAAATATGCTTACTTCTCCTACACACACTGGGTCCAGGGTTGGCAGCCGGTACACTGCGATCTCACTAGAATTCCTTGCCCCTGTTGCTAATAATGTCTTTGAGGGATTAATCTGCACTGAATGGATCCCACATTGCTGATCTTGTGGCATTGTAATGGAATCTCTTCTGCCTTGTAACGATGGAATCTGATCTAATCTTTGTGTGACTACATCATATACCATTAGCTGTGAACAATTCCAGACATTAATCATACGAGCATACATAGACCCATTTTGCATGCAACAAACTGCATCATACACAGCATACTTCCATATTGACACAAGTACCACATATTTGGAAATTATAGATGTTAAGAGTCATCTGGAACTGACAGAAAGTTGGAAATCTCCATGGTACATTAGTTCAATATAAAATAAAAAATATATACAATTTTATGTTATTACATCCTGTTTGTTTACTTTTAAGTCATAGGATAAATAAACTAATGTACAACTTAAAGTTATCATTTAACCTAGATTAACCAGGGCTGTGCATGGAAAATGAAATTGTAACATAAGGGTGTGAAGTGCCACATTATATTCAAGAATCTGAAATGAACAAAGAACTCTATACAATGGAGAATAGCTACAATTTACATACATAATGATTTCTTACTCTTGTCTTGGTAAAATTAAGTACCCTCTGACCTATTTCAATATTATTCACATTTGTTACCTCTTAAAATTAATGAACTTGCACTTACAGTCTGTGCCACCTTTACCTAAAACAGTAAGGATAAGATATACATAACATGGGGGCCACAATACCACAGTCAGTATAGCGACTGGCTACAGGCTGGAAGACCGAGGGATCAGGGTTTGAGTCCCTGTAGGGTCAAGAATTTTCACATTTTGATCTTGTCCAGACTGGCTCTGGGGTCCACCCAACCTCCTGCTCAATGGGTGCCTGGGGGTCTCCCGGGGGTAAAGCAGCTGGGGCATGAAGCTGACCATTCACTTACAACATGTGCTGACATCAAGAAAACATGGGTCTATACATCCCCTCCCCCCTACACCTTCATTAGTTAAGCGCAGGGACAACTTTACTTTTTACTTACAGTCTGTACACCTGACATCTATAGTCTATATTCAAAACATGTAATGCATTATAAGGAACAAAGGAACAAGTTTTTTTTAATTCGTAAGTTGTATGATGTTTTATCTTATGACTTAGATTACACCAATGATATTCTGCCTTGTGAGCATGTCAAGAAATGCACAAAAATTCTGATACATGAATTAAAATGAAGACATGACACCAACTTCTTTCTTCACAAACAATTTTTAAGATTCTGATTTTCAAATGTCCTAACATGGCCATGTTTTAAAAAATTCAAAGGATCCTGGCCGAGAAGATATTCCAAACATGTGGCAGATAGTTATTTAATCATTACAGACAAAGTATAATTAATGAAGTTTCCAATAATTAGTTCACTGTGATAATACTGTTAATTGGTATATTTAAACTTGAAACTTTTCTCTAAAGTGGAATCCAGTTATTCAATATTAAATAATAGAGTATTTAAGCCGGCATTAGATGAGGATCACTATCTCATGCCTTCTACTCGGCAGAATTTACTTTCTTTAAAAAGGATTAAGCATTGTAGCGTTATTAAGAAAATATTTCTTTGGCATTATTTTGTTCTATATTACTAATATACTTATAAGATGGTTTTTTAAATACCCATAGTAACTATAGATTTATATTTACATTTATACCCATATTAAAGTATTATATTTGCATTATGCTATGTTCTGCATCCTTAGCATTGTTTCATAAAAGATAAAAACAATTTAAAGTATAATTCTACTACAAACCACAGACAAAATCTAATTCGTTGGCAGATCAAAGGCTTGTGTTTAATTCTTCTTCTTTCTTAGAAAATATGTGTGTAGTTATAAACAAATCACCAAAAACGTTGAGGCCTGACTGGTCACTAGTGGCTTATGCTTTAAAGACAACAAGTGTACATGAATGTTCTTAGTTTTAACTATCGGTTTACTTTATTCGTGAAATTTGTCTATGATGCCCACAATTTTGTGCGAATTTTTAACCTTACCTTATTACATTTTGTTCCAAATACAACTTGTCTGTCACTTAACCACTGGGAACAGAACACTTTGTTCATATTACTAAGGGACACTGAGTATTCTTTAAACATTTCATGTGTTAAAATATGCCGCGAGCCGTATTCAGGGCCAACCCATTTGGGTTCTCTGCCACCCATTTCTCGTCCCCGTACGAAGTCAACAAAATTATATGATGTATTGAGAATCTGTTTTTCAGCGCTAGCACTCTCTTCTTCGTCGTCAGAATCTTCATAACATACAAAGTCCTCAGGTTTGTCAGGTTTACGAGAGCGTTCCAAGCGAAGGGCACGTAATCGCATATGTAATTCCTCAATTCTACATAACGTAGCACAGGGTGGGCGACGTCCATAAACTGGAATTCTACGAGTGTGTGCCATTGTATTAATTTTAAACGCGTAAAGATCTTGCCACGGATGAACACAGGTTAAGGACCGACCAGTAAAAGACCTAAGCAGCACCCTAATTAAAATGTACAAATTTTTAACAACTGATTCTTGGATTTCTTACTTATCATGTCTCACTTCATCTATGCTTATTCATTTACTGCACACGTCACAAAATTTTACGCTTTCGCTGAAGAACATCGTCAAAAATATTCACTTTCCTATTCATACTGCCCGAACATGACAACATTTACATTCCATAAAACAGCTGATAGGCAGGGTGAATAGGTAAATGCAGATGATCACACAATTTACAGAACGAAAAGCGAATCAAAGATGACAAAGTAAATAAACGTCGGAAGATAAACCACTAGTACCACAGAGGTAGTTGTGCTATTTTATAACTGTTACGAACAGTACAATTCAAAATAAATTTAAATAAAAAAGGGCGATGGATGATGTCCAAAAACATAATAATTGTATTAATATACCATCGGCACACACTTTCTGATCTTATTTGCTACGAGCATACCGCACACCGACTGTACCATGGTAATGATTCTTAATTCGCGAACTTTTCAAAACCTGTCGTCACACAGATGTGATAACGCAACTTCATAATCCCATATGATTAACTAATGGCTTGTAACGCGTAAGGAAGACGTGTTAGTAGTTGAAACTTCTGGCTTTTCATCTTTAGAATCTGTCATCTGTCTTAAATGAATTGCCGTTGCCTGTCATATTCTGTTCTTGAGCTTTGTGAATCTGAAGTATTTTAGGGAACAGTAGTTGTGCCATTGTCTGTGCTTTAGCATACGTGTCTTTATAAAATAGAAATCACTTCCTCTGAAAGATGGTCAATGTAGATTACGAAAGAGGAAGCCATTTACATTCATTTTATGGTATTGATGAATTTTTTGATTACAGGCTTAAGAAGATTGCTAATTGATTTCATTGGAATTATATACATAATTAATGAAAAGTTAAATTACAAATTTTATAATTTTAAAATTATGTTTACATAAATATTTTTTGTAATTATTATATTTAATTGTTATATTGGACTATTGTCTATATCCTGAGTCTTACGACCTTGTAAAGGATTTTTGACATGTAAATAAATGATGATGATGATGATGATGAAGTCATCAGACTGAAGGGTTCTTTTCATAGACGTCGCCACGAGAACGTAAAAACTTTTGAAGTAGTTACATAACCGAGATTAACTTCAGAAAGTAGCTTCATTGTACATTGTACATACTATCGCTTATTAAGCAACGTGAAACCTTGCTTAATACTACGAAACGTTCTCTTCACCATCCTCAGTGCCAGTTTCAGGTTCGGTTCATATCGGTATCCAATGTACCTCCATGACTATGCACTTTATTACCAATTCTTGGTCAGTGATCAATGTCAACAGATAAGGCACATGAATATCATTAGTTGATAGCTCACTGCGCTCTAGTAAAGTGATATTTTGTTAATTTATTAAGTGAGCCTCTAAGATTGTTTCCTTGTCGTCCTCTTTCTTTTCTGCAGACTTAATCGTTTATATTTAATTATTGTCTTTTTACATATACTCCCATTATATGAACCAAATTCGCATGCTTTACTTTCCATAGGACATATGGAAGAGGACGTGCCGAGGGGACCTAATATGGATTCCACCTCACACTATGTGAAATCTTAACTATTGTAATCTACTGTAATCTATTGTAAACAATTTTAAGTATTGTAACTTTATTCTCTTATTGTAATCAGCCAATGTACAGTAACTGACTTGTCCTATATCATGTAACAATGATCTATAGAGACGAAATAAATACATACATACATCCATTACACAGCGGGAAAAAATTTCTGTCCGCAGTTCAGTGCTGTAATTAAAATAAAAAACATACCTTTCTGTGTAAGCAACTAAATGTCGCGGTGTACGGTCACCTAATTTGTAACAAGCTTGTGAGTTATATCTTCCATACTACACTCCTTGGTTCTGGGTACGGGGCATGTGGAACATCCTTTTCTCACCTTTTCCGACAACCGTGTTAGTCAATTGTTAGAAAGTGTCACAATGGCAGCATTCAAGAAAACGAATGTGAAAATATTCACAAAAACTGGACCAAATATTACACCGGATACCATATACTGGAAAAAGCTTGGGGTATGTTCGTTTCTAAATTGTGATTTAATCTGTCTGGACAGATTATAGTAGTAAATGTTTCACCGCGATCTGAATATGCATTTAAAAAATATCTTTCCTTCCCACGTGGATTAATTCGAATTGAACGGTTTATCGAGAGAATCATTTGGCGTATGACGAGAGGCATGCAGATTAGGTAACCAGTACTTTGGTTTTCACATTTCTGTCCCATCATGTGTTTCAAATAGATGACTTCCCCTACTTCTGTTTGTCAGTGGCTAATTTTGTTATAGTAAAAGAAAGCACGCGTGGAATACAGTAGTGCACCCCCTTTTCAGACTTAGGGAGGGGCCACTGGTACTTTTGAAGCCCATTATCGTGAGACATATACAGTGTGTTGACAAAACTAGAATTTCAGGTTCAAATGCAGGTATGGTTGGGCCTCCCCACCATGCCAAGGTTCTCAGCACAGGTATACCATACTCATGTGCAGCAATGCACCAGTATGTGACATGCTTTCACAAGGNGCCTCCCCACCATGCCAAGGTTCTCAGCACAGGTATACCATACTCAGTATGTGACATGCTTTCACAAGCTGGGAAATTCTTCAGTCTCAGATAACTTGCAGCACAACAATTAAAAAAAAAATAACTAAGCTACTAAATAATTTCTTGCATTTATTTTTGAAGATGTACTGTGTTTTTTTTATTTGTGTTATGCTTCTCTTATATACAAACATACACGTTGTATGAGATAGGTATTAAATAGATTTTTTTAAGTGTTTTAAAGGTGGTATGCTCATTCTTGATTGTGTATGAAGCTTCCTGTTACATTCAAAGCACTCAAGTGGTATTTGTTGCAGTAATAATTTATTGCTTACAATTGGTAAGTAATGAAACTTTTTAATAATATTTTTAATTATAAGGAACAGATATCTTTCAAATAAAAGTTGTTTAATCAAGTTGTGTATTTAGGTGTATCATTTTAATCTGACTGATCTGACAACTTCAGTTTGATTTCTGGTAGGGATGAGATCTGTCTTTTACCACATCCACATAGCACTGAGGCCAACAATTCTCATGGGTGTCAGGGTCTCTTCTGATAGGGATAAACTGGCCAGAACATAAGATGACTGTTCAGATGCATAGAATAAATAGCACTTTACCTCAGCGTCTCCTGTGTCCCTTCAATGCATGGTGATTAAGCATATTGGCAACTTTATCCATTATCTTACCTTGAATAGTTTCAGTATGTTGTTTATTTTACATGAATACAAAACTGTAACTACCCAATGAACAGATTCACAATCTGGTGCTTTCAAAATTCACCTGTATGAAATATAGACAATATAGAATAGACAATAAATCTTCTACGGCTACAGACAGTATTTTTATTGATAAGTATAAGTTAAATAATTATTCCATTATTCCGGTTGTGAATGGCCTATCTGACGATGATGCACAATTATTAATATTCAATAATTTAAAAATTAATGATTCAAACCTTGGTTGTTATACTATACGCCAGTTAAATAAAGATAGTATGGAAGACTTTAAGATAAACTTAAGCTATGAAACGTGGGAGGAAGTCTTTTTAGAGGATGAGGTTGATAAATGATTTAATAGCTTCCTCAATAGATATTTACAAGTTTTTAATAGCTGTTTTCCTGTTAAAAATTATTCTATAATTCTAATAATAAAGCATAGTTAACAATCTGTATTAAAATTTCATGTCAGCATAAAAGAAACCTTTATATATTATGTAGGAATGTTAAAAATCCTATACTGCATGCCTATTACAAGAAATATTGTAAAATATTAAGAGAAGTTATAAAAGCAGCCAAAAGAATCTATTATAACAAATTGATTGCTAAATGTAATAATAAATCCAAAACTATGTGGGGCATAGTAAATAGCGTGACTGGAAAACGTAAAAATGCTTGTCACCCACCACAATTAATTATTGGGGGAGAAAAATGTAAAGACAGTCAAAATATAGCTGATGCTTTTAATTTATATTTTAATACTACAATGCATAAACAGC